TGTATATCCCATGCTTTGTAGTGTATTTGGAGAGTAAAGTAACTAAAATATTAAGGTTTCCTCCTGGGGACACCCTAATTTTTGCTCAATATATGATTTCTGGGAGTTAGATAGGCATCCACCCAGCAGTGGGTGAAGCATCTGCCTATCAGTAGACACTTTTTGCTCTCAGTCATTTGCTCACTCTTTGGGCACTGTCTCTCCCACCCTTGGACCTGAGGAGAGATGATGATACGGAGTAGAATGTTCCCTTACTTTTGACACCAAAAAAGTGTGGTTCAGACCACTTACACCCCTGAGGGTAGATTAAGAGCCCTCAGAGCTGCACTTTAATGTGAGGGCAACTGGCCACATGCTGTTCTGAATAGAGCTGTGCTCTACACTTAACACATAGAATGAATTTTAAAGATACATAAACAAAGTAATTCATTCGTATCTTTTTATTGATCAGTTATAAAAACAATAATATTTTGGATAGATTAGGTTCATTAAACAATAACAATCAATTTAACCTATTTCTTTATCTTTTATGTGGCTACCAGAAAATTCAAAGCAACACAAGCAGCTCTCATTTTATTCCTGTTGGACAGGCTGAATTAGAGGACTGCCTTCCCTTTCAAAGCTCAGACTGCCCCTCAAAAGACCAGAGTTCAGAGAAATTTAAAAAAATCCCAAACTTTAAAGTAATTGTTGGTTTTCACAAGATGGTGCCGAAGGTGAAGAAGGAAGCTCCTGTCCCTCCCAAAGCAAAATCCAAAGGCATTGAAGGCCAAGAAGGCAGTGCTGAAAGGCAACCACAGCCACAGAAAAATGAATATTCCTACATCATCCACATTTCAGTGACTGGAGACACTGGCCACTCCAGAGGAAGCCCAAATATCCCAGGAAGAGCTCCCCTGGGGAGACAAGCTTGACCACTGTGCCATCATCCACTTCTCCCTGACCACTGAGTCTGCCATGAAGAAGAGAGAAGAAAACACCACACTTGTGTTCACTGTGGATGTCAAAGCCAACAAGCACCAGGTCAAACAGGCTGTGGAGAACCTCTGTGACATTGCTGTGGTCAAGGTCAACACCCTGACCAGGCCTGATGGAGAGAAGGCATATGTTCCACTGGCTCCTGATTATGATGCTTTGGATG